CCCCCCCCCCCCCCTCCCCCGAGGGGGGGTTCGTTCTCTCCTCACACGCCTCGATGTCGCATTCCTGCAATTCGATCCTACTCTTCTTTTTATCTACCACCTCTCCGCTGTTCCCCCGCTGATGGTCTAATCCTCCTATTCAACAAACGTAACTTCCGTCTTTCAGCCCTGGAAACTGGCCTCGTTTATGGAGCTGGTGTGCACGAGCTGTATACAAGTGTTCAGCATGACTCACCTTTCTGCAGATCGGCTACCGTTTGCTTCTCCGCCCCTTTGTTTATCAAACCTCAATCCGGACATCGCCTTTGGGAACTCGGTTCATCATTTAACGGGGTGCGCATGACGTTTACAGTAGGGGATACTGTCGCTGATCTCGGTACAGATTCGCTGCTATCGCTGACCATGACGGCTTCTTCACCAAACCGGAGGATGGGTATGGTGAACGGAAGTTGGATATCTAGCTCAACCTCGTGCGTGCTCAAACTCCAGCAAGCCTAAGTTTGATTCATCCCTAGCGCTCGTTGAAATGCCGTATATTCTCTCCAAAGTTGACTCCGAAGCTGGAACGGCAATCTAGTATCACAAGTCATTGTCATGATCGTCGTTTCTGTGGGTAATCTGATTCAATAGGAGGAAGACGGCATGATCTGACCAATTTCTCAAGAAATCGACATCGTGCTACCTATACTGATGATCCTCCATCCTGGAACTTCAAGCGTCAGAATACCGTATATAGTTTTAGCACGATGACACGAATACGTGCACGACCTGTGCGCAGCGGGCTTCACGTTCAATGTGGTGCGTTCTAAGTTTGGAGTATCAGTTAGTGTCGATAATGCTCTCACAGGATCAGCTACCATCTATGGAAAGACATCTGCCCTCATCAAAACCCGATACATCCATGGCCGACGGTGTGACATCATCATTGAATAGAGTGCGCCTGCGATTTGCAGTACAATACTGCTTAGCATTTCTAATCCTCTCACAGCCCTGTTCAGGATGACCATCATTTCTGGGATTGAGGCCATAGTTTTGTCGGGTGCGCGCCAGGTGCACAGTCGCATTACTGTTCCTCATTTCCCACTGCTGTTTCTTCCTAGCTGGATCTTTGCCACGTAGTGATCGCGTCTTCCGCGTGATCACTCCTCCCCAATACGAGAAGACTCCCAGTGGTATGCTCCTGTCAACATCACACCTGCGACTACACATCTAGGAGCTTTGCATTTCCAAGAAGCCGTCTCGAGCCTCTATCTGCCCTAGGCTGTGCATTCTACGAAACCACACCGCACACCGCCCGGTTGCTTCAACGTCTTCTCGGCTCTATCAACTCAAACACTACTGTGGCACAAATGAGCAGAATCGCCCTCCCTCCAGAGCGATTTGTGACCCTGTGTGTTACATGCGCACCCGCATAGCATTCGCAAACATCCCAACGCTTTAGCGATCGCCCGCTACCTCGTATCGCATCCTGTCATGTTTAGCTCGCATACTCTCATTGACCTGCGATTAGTATGCCCTCCGGAACGATGAACGAGCCTGAGCAGGCGCTGGTATTCCCCAATGCAACATATCTAAGCACGAGCCTACGTATCTGTGTGAGTGCTTGTCCACTCATATTATCCCCTCAATTTTGAACACCCAATAGATCGAACAGGGCCACTTGCTTCGGCTTATGGAGTCCATCCCATTCTTTCTATCGGCCACATCCCTGTTCCTATGTAGCCGTAACACTGTACAGCAAGTGTACTCGGCTGTTTGTTGGGTATGTCCGTTCTTTATGGACGATAGATCCTATTTACGTATTCATCTCAGTTCCCCCCTGACATGTTCTTCCAGATTAGCTACTCTCGCATCCCGTGGATTCCTCGGAAATCGATCCATCAGACGAAGAGGATACTCCGTGTCCCCCATCTCGCCCGTACGTCTACTCCAACTCGCATTACCGCTGCCTTTACCACTTCCACCCACGCCTGTCGACCATACCCACTATTCCAAGCAGGTAGTCTGTTGCCTATGTCTGCTCGTGTGAATGCTTTTGTCCCGCCCTTCAAAGCATTGGATCAACGAAGCGGGCTTGATTTAGCTTGTGGAAGCGCTATCATACTGCCTATGGTCGAACTTGTGGCGCGACCATTTGAATGTGAGACCTTCGTCCTTTCGGATAGCATACAGGGATTGATTAATGTTCGGTCTTGAGGATCTTAGTTACAGTCGGCAGCCATCTCAGCCGCGCCAACAAGGGTATCAAGTTCCTGATTTCTTGAAGTGGATCATCTGTGTCTTCACGCGCACCCCGGGCATTCATAGTTCGTATACCTCATTTCCCTCTCATTCTGGACCTGACACGGGTTGCACAGGCTGTGTATGACGTCGATCGTACCGCCGCGCTTGCTTACCTCGACCACTTCAGAGATGGATAGACGGGCAGAGAGATAAATCTAGACCGGCAACTTGGATCGGAAGGCAAAAAAGGTCATTTCGTCCACTTTACAAACATCTACTGAATCACATCAAGATATCCTACCTACTGGTCGCCTAAACCCACAGACCGATCCTGTATGCGTCTTTCAGCACCCTTCTCCTTGTCGGTCTGCCTCCACGCTCTTTCACCCCCTTAGACCCTCCCACCAGTGTCATTCACCCGCAGAAGTTGGAATCGTCAAACCTCAATATGGGTATTTGACAAGTTAAATCTAGTGCGTGCTCAATGGAAGGAGTGGCTGTAACTAATTTCCTTACAGATAGGCTACCGTCTCTCCTACCATCTCAGATCTCGACTTCTTTTTCCACGGACTTGTATACGAATTCAGCTGGAGCCTGCTGGAGGCTAAAAGTTTTTTTCATGGTTTCCCGGTGAGCGTATCCAGAGCTCTGAGAACATATTTTGATGATATTTATAGAATGTTGAAGCCATATTATCGGTTTCCGAACCCCAAGAACGCGACAATCGTTCATCGGCAGTTGACTGACAGGTTTCCTGATCTTCCCTCTGCTAACCCCACCCCTTGCTCTCTACCGAACTAGTCCTCTGCTTTGCACTTGCTAAACACAGTACCTACCTCTGCGCGTCATATACCTACTCGGCAAGAGTAGGTATATGTCACACAATGTATGTACCTCAACATGCCTCCACTTCTTGGCCTGAATTCTGACTCCTGCACAGGCTTGGTCATCCCTGTACCCTCAACTTGTGACGCCTGCAATGTGTCTGGACTGCTTGCTCAGGTTGAAATGGTTGCAAAAGGGGCCGATTCATCCCCTCTGTTGTCCAATTCTACTCGTCGCAGTAGTACAGACCCTTGACTCGATGTCAGTAAGTAAATTTAGCCTCCTCGGTTCACATGTTCCTCACAAGTCTGTCAGATAGGCAATACACACCATTCAAGTATCGCTCGTAAATGTGCTACATAGCTCCATGCCTGTTGCGTGGTTCGGAAGATACACAACTGTTCTTGCTCCGAGCTCTCAAAAGGTGTCAATTGTCTTGGATTTGGTCCATACTACCGTGACCCACAAGGAGCCAAGACACGGCACTGCACTATGGCCTTACTATCCCAAAGAGAATTCTGGCTGCAATTGGAAATATTGCATAGTTTGCAAGGTTGGCAATGGTCTGGGGTGGATGATACTAAAATTGAAATCCCGAACGTTCAGCAGGCGTCGATAAATATAGTGCCCTGTTCAGCACGGACATACAATGCCCATCTGCAGGGAACATGACTCCAGATTCATTTCGCTCGTCAGTATTCAAAGCCCACAAGTTACTTAGCCAAGCAACTATGCCTCTACCAAGGTACGTCGAAAGTATTTTCGCGCCGATGTCTTCATCTGATGCCATAACTAGAGTTCCCGGACGAGATTTAGCACCAGTAGTCCTCTGATGAAACCCTTCGACGATGATGTTGCTGCGTTGTCTGCCAGTCTATTCAACTTAATCCACTTCAAGAATGATCTTGTGATCTGCGTAGCTGGGAAGAATATATCTCGAACGAGTAAGGAAATTCTTCCGGAAATGTCCATGCGGTACAATGCTCATGATCTCTTGCAGACGTGGGGCGCTCGCGGATTTCATCAAGGGCCGGGGCTCAACAACATTCACGCGTCGCATCGTATCTCTGACATCTCAGTCCGCCGATTATCCCACTGAAACTTCTTAAGAAGATTACCCTGAGAGCTGCAGATGCGCTGGCCGGAAATACTGCAACTGTGGCAAAGAGGTCCAGCCAGTTTCCGAAAAGTCCATCTTCAATTTCAGGGTGGAATAACACGAAGTAGGGATCATAAGCACTGGCGGGGCCACCTGGATGCAAATATACAGCGCTATCTCAACAAAGAGCGGATAGATCAAGACCTCTGATGTCTAGCTCGCATGATCTCACAGTTTCGTCAGAAGCGATCAGCAGTCGAAGCACGTAAATGGAACATACACTCTATTTCCAGGTCATGCGCGTTCGGTATCTCTGACTGCCGGACGTTTGGGCGCTATTATTGACCAGAAAAGGGAGCGACCCGGAAATTCAAACCCTGCGCTGGCACTGTTCGGCCTTTGTCTTCTCTCCAAAGAATCACGATTTCCGGATTACACACGCAGCAAATCCGAGCCTGTAGACTCAGTCACGCATATAACCGGGCCTGAAGAGAGGAACAAAGGCAGACAAACCGCCACGCGCCGCAGAGTCACATTTACTCCAGACAAGCCAAGGTCACATAATGAGTCAGCGTCAACTGTAAGCGACTTACGGTTATACATGGTCATGCTCCCTAAAGAAGATATTGTAGGCCCCGGCGTGCCAATACCGAGAGCGCTGTCGGCAGGTATGATGATAGTGCCTCTGATGATGACCGTTCGTGAGTTACCGGTATACTTCGATTGGTGTTTGCTGAATATACCTTCTTTCAAAGCTTCAGCACCGATCCGGCCCCTGCTGACGCCAAGAGCAGGGGGTTGAACGTGTCCGGTATCGGCCAGGGAGAGGCTCAGGCCAAGGCCAAGGCTCAGGCTGAAGCTCAGGCTCAGGCTCGAGCTCAGGCTCAGGCTCGAGCTCAGGCTGCGGCTCAGGCTGCTGCCCAGGCTCAGGCTGCTGCCCGGGCTCAGGCTGCGGCTCAGGCTCAGCATTAGGCTGCTTCCCAAACTGGTTGGCAATCTGTGACTCAATAGCCTTCTAGATGCCACGTCCATGGCATGTATTTCCAACGCACCTCTTGTACGAATTATATAGATAGTCGGATTTTCAAAGTCGGCAAGGCGACCAACCGTCAGTTCAATCGATAGTTTTCTAGGTTGGAAAGGAGTCGAGGATGACGTATTCTTATGTCCAAGAGACGATGACCGAAGGAGATCGAGTTTGCCGCCGGAGAAGCGGAAAAGGCCTGCTCCTGGTCCCTGTGCCTGCGCAGCCCAGCCGCTGTTCTTCCCCAAACTTGCAATACTTGTTGCCTATTAAACAACTGATCTGACTGTCCACCTCCTTTCTATCTGCAGCCCTGCCAGATGGACACAGAAGACGGCCCTGCGCCAGACGGTCCCACCCAAGCCCAAGTGATCGCCGCCCTCCTTGCATCGCGCAACCTCCCCCCTGCTCCCCCGTCACGGACATACGCCTCCTATACGCTTGAGGAGCTCAGGGATGAGGCGGGGAGAAATAAGATTAGGCTGAGGTGCTTGAGAGAGGGGTGCGGGAGCTTGATCTTGCTTGAAGGGGTTGGGGAGCTGAGAGAGAGCGGGGACGACAGTTGGCGGGATGTGCGTGTATTCCATGTTCTCCCTATTAGCTTCAACATTCATATGTCTATTCTCATGGTACCTGGGATACATGCTGACACCTGCGTGTAGCTTGACGCTGGACGAGATGAGCCACATCCCGTCTTGCCCCCAATGACACGAGAACAGAAATGGTGGCGAGTCACCCCCTCGCCAATGGCGTTCGAGAACGTAGCGTTCAGCAAAGCGGTTCCTGCTGATCCTTCTGCACTTGCTACAAGTTCACCAGCACAGGGCGAGGAGGCTGAGAAAAGCGTTTCGGCAGCGGCGGGGACAGAAGCGGACAATCCAGCGACGGAAGGGAGGAAGACGAAGTACTTAGGTTGTGCGGAGTGCGAGCTTGGCCCGATTGGGTGGTGTTGGGATGGGAAGACGAACGAGTACTGGGTCAACGTCGAGCGCGTGGGGTATCGCTCTTGACCTTCTGGCCGGTGCATAACTTTGAAGGCCGGGAATGGGATGGTTGACGGGTACGCAATTGTATGATCACTGCAAGAGTGGAATAATGAATTGGCTAGAGAGTAGCTGGGGAAACTACAGGCTGTGACAGTTTAGTTTGCATGCGGAGAAATGGCAGGAGCGGCGGAGAATAACAGGAAGGTACTGCCATTCCCGTGATGTGGGATAACGGACAAAGGCAAAGAGGGATACATCATGTATAGAAGTGTCTGCTCTCGCTCTTCCCGAACAGATCTGTCCTGATCTCCGGTAACATCTATAATTTCGCTCACAGTTAGCTACCGCATCCCTTCAACCGAGAAAAACGGCTCACCGAGTCCTCCAACAGGCCCAAACGCTCATCCAGCGTGTTATCGAGCATGATCCTTCCTGATCCAGCGGCAAGCCTCACCCCGCCCGCGCTATCCTTCGGGAGGGAGCCCTCGACGCTGATCGAGACGGACCGGCCCGAGGTAGAAGTGTAGGAAGCGGAAGCGCGTTGGGAGGCTGATTTACAGAGGGCGACATCGGACGGTCGGCAGGCAACGAGGACGGAGGGTTCGAGGAAACGGAGCAGACCCTGGGTAGCGTGGTTCAGCGTAGTTCTAGTGGGAGTGACTTGGGAAGATAGAGTACGAGAATGGTGGGGAAGGTACGAACCTCTAAGATCAGCCCCTCTAGCAGCTGGCCATATTTCTTCTCGTCCTGCTGAGCAATAAGAACGACCTGCCTGCGCGCGTCTTCAAAGAGCGTGTGCAGATGCTGTTCACGAGCAGCAAGAACACGCAACCGGGCGCGATTCGTTGCGGTTGAATGTTCACTGGTAGTAGATGTTAGGACAGAATACGAGATTGTTGTGTGGACGCACATTTTGATGCTCGTCTCTGCGCCCTTCCTCTTCTTCTCAAAATTGGCGTCAATAGCCGCCGTCTCCTGCCTTACCAATTTGGCCTATCACGCATCAGGTCTCTGTGCCACTCAGAACAGGGCAACACCCACCTTCTCGACCGCGAACTCCTCATCAGCTTTGACCTTGATTTCCCTGGCCTTTTCCTGTGCTTCCTGCCTAATGAATGCAACCATCTTGCTCGTCTCTGAGATGACTTCGTCGTCGTTGAGCGGTCCTGAACGGGATGCCATGTTGTGCTCTAGTGGAATGGGATAGGAAAAAGAGGTGCGGAGACGCGGTGTTTCTATCAAGCAGACCGCAACGTAATGGTAAACTGCTCCCGCTCAACTCAGGGAATGATTCTTCATCGCCACTACACAGCCACTATTTGTTATCTCATTACACAATCAGTTGGTGGAGAGGGCGTCCAAAGATGGAGGCACTTCCCTCCTGAGGTGGACTGTCCACCCTCTGTACATATACCATAGACGTTCCTGCCCTTGCTCTCTCCTTCAATCAATTACTAGAATTAATATGAAATCAACCAAAAGGATCGCTGTACTCGGAGGGGGCGCTGCAGGCCTCGCTGTGCTCAAAGTCCTCCTTGAACTGCCCCAAGTGAGGGACAAGTCATGGCATGTTGTCTGCTATGAAGCGAGGGAAGATATCGGCGGTGTATGGTGCGCTCTCTCTCACATGTTACATGCCCACATTCTCATGATGCATGCAGGCTGCCCGCGCCTCCGACAGACGATCCCCCCCTCACTCCGCTCTATGACTCGCTTACTACAAACCTCCCCCATCCGATAATGGCCTACCAATCCCTCCCCTTTCCCAGCTCGACACTCCTCTTCCCTCCTGCCTCCGCCGTGCTCGCATACCTCCGATCATATGCTACTACCTTTGGGCTCCTGCCGTTCATACGCCTAGGACGGCGGGTAGAGGACATGCGCTGGGATGCAGAAGAGCGCTGTTGGGAGCTGAAGGTCGCCCCTGGAGGACAGGGAGAGGCAAGGAAGCACTATGATGCTGTCATAGTGTGCAACGGGCATTATTCACTCCCACACTACCCTAGCACACTGGGGTTCGATGCCTGGCGCACTCAGGGCAAGGTCACCATTACTCACTCGGCATTCTATCGGAACCCCGAGCCATGGAAGGACAAGATCGTGCTGGTCATGGGCGGTGGACCAAGCGGGAGCGACGTCAGTGCTGAAGCCGCCTCCGTCGCTAAGAAGGTCTACCACTCCGTCTCTGGCTTTGTGAGTGAAGATGTGGGGAACGTTAGCCGACGACCGAGGGCGAAGGAGTTCAGGCAGGACGGCTCGGTCTTGTTCGAAGATGGAAGCGTAGCGCAAGACATCGATTCCGTCATCCCGGCCACAGGATATCAATACGACTACCCCTTCATCTCGCCTCCCTTGCTGGTGCACAGCACTCTCCCGCTCGGTCCGGGGCCCACCCCACCGCAGCACGTAGGAAATGACACGAACCACGTATATGCACTCGCCCGGCATCTCTGGCCTCTTCAACAAGATTTCCCAACTCACACCCTGGCGTTCATCGGTCTCCCTGCTAGGGTGATCCCCTTTCCCATCTTTGAGGTTCAGGCGAGGTGTGTCGTCCGTGTTCTGCTGCATCCTTCGGCTTTGGACATCCCGCACGAGCTTGAATTAGTGCGTGCAAGGGACGTAGAGCTGCGAGAACAGTGTGCGGGTAACCAGCGGGAGGTGTCCAAGTCCTGGCATCGACTGCCGGATGAAGAACAGTTTGCATACAGAGAGGAGCTCCTCGCTTTCGCCCGGTTGCGCAAGGGAGAATGGGCAGTCGAAGACTGGGCGAGGGAGATGTACCCCGTTAAAGGGGAGCTGAGGAAGGAATGGAGAGAGATCGAGCGTAGGGGGGAGGGTAAACGCTGGGTCCACGGTGTGGGAGAGGGGGGAGTGAGCGAGTGGATCGATCTGATGAGGAGGGTTCTGAAGGAGGCGAGGAGGAGGGAGGCGAGGGGACAGAATATCAATGGGTTGGAGAAGGTAGAGGATCTAGGGAAAGTCTAGCAGATTATTGGAGGGTTGGGTAGATGGCTTCTATTCTTTTTGGGATATGGTTTTGTTGACCTAGTCTATTGTTTGTTGTATTCCTTGCAATGAAAGCTCCGGTATCCCAGTCCCCTTCTCTTCACAGAAAGTGCAAGTGTGACCTGATCTGGTAGTGGGTATGTACACTGCCCGCGGTTCTTTCGAGTTCAGAGAGTCCTGGGGCCAAGTATCAAACATCAGGAACGCAGCGTGGGCAGTGCGGGGTACGCGCCCGGACAAGCGCAGAGATTGTGCATGGAGTTCCTAGCTGAGCAGAGTGCGCAGAAGTTGTCCAGTCTCCATTCACGAGAATAGTCAAAACCTCTGCTGACAGAGATGAAAGATGAATGGGTCGTGTCAGTTCCAGGAAAAGCCTGGTAACCTTACCGCCCGTTAATCTAACATCTTCGAGGACAGCAACCAGGCCAGTCGCCATGTTTAAGATCCAACACGCACGGAAGCCAGCCTGAAGCCTCCAAATGATCAGTCACTGTAGGAATCGCTGTAATGAACTAAAAAGAAACGTGATCACAAGTACAGGGAGCCCGTGAAGATGACCGAATTTGGTCGTTCAAGCATGTCGCGAGCCTTCTGGAATTTCTCCTTCAGTTCCTCATTTCCGATTGCCTGAGAAGCTTCCACCATCTGCCGAATGAGTTCGCCAAGGAGACGGAATACACGAATGAGATTTCCCTCGAACTGATCCGTCAGCTAGACGCAAGAAGAGATCAGAAACTCCTTCTAGTTGTCAGAAGCAAGATTCAGGGGTGTACCTTGATGATCTCTCCAAAGGATGCGCCACGGCACCACCTTATAACGACATCCATCAGCTCGACTCGGAAGGACATGACATATTCCTCTTCGACGACTGGAAGCTTTGATTCTTGAGCGACCTTGGCAATCCGCCGCGCCAGCTCCTGTAGTTGACGTAGGGGTGCTGCAAGCTCTTCACCGAGCTTGAGAGATTTCTCGCTCTGTACGTATGTTAAGGAGGAATCCTTCCACTCATTCGAGGTGCTCTCACCTTTTCGGTGAAGACAAAACAGCTTAGCACGGCTGCGCATTGCTCGGGACTGAGAGGGTTAAACGCGCCGTTGAACATCATTTCAGTCAGCAGCAGCTCGTCGCCAGCACTGATTTCACAAGCGACGCGGCCCTTGACATCCACGACATCGTTCGAATTAGTGAAACCAAGACGCCTTAGGACACGCCTTCGACTTTTTAGTTCTTCCAATTGCAGAACATCGTTGGCTGCCTGTATGCGGCGCCGTATTTGTCGGACTTGCTCGTGCTTTTCCTTCTTCTGTGCGTATAGTTCATACAAGTCAGGCAAACGAGGGTCACTATGCAACGGATTGGTGAGCAACCGATCCTCCAGCATCTCGATTTTCTATTAGAACCATCAGTGTGCATATCAACGATGTCATTATACAGACCGGACATACTTTGATCAACTTAAGGAAACTTTCGTCTTTGATGCCAATATTCTTTACAGGATCAAGACGAGTGATGCCGTCCGGGAACCGCTTCTGCACCTCAAGAACGCTTCTCCATGCTTGGTCGCGGGCGGGGCCGCTCCTGAGATCTTTCGGCAGGTATATCCGGAATGCACTAATGGCATTCACAGTCGATAACAAACAACCGACGACCAGCGGTTCTCCTTTCTCGCCACTCAGCACCGGCCGTTTATCAAGCCTGGAAGAACCTGTTCCAATGGGATCCTTCGAACTGCCGGATTCCGTGGAAATGTTGAGTAGAACGTCCAAGATATACTGCAATTGTGGTTTTTCCTTTATGTTTGGCGTGGGCCTGTTCTTTGGTGGTGTCCGCTTCGTGTAATTGATGATAACGCCCCATCCGAAATCCACGCCATCAACAACAATCTGAACGAGTCGTCCTGATTGGAGGAAGGGGACGATGTACGTTGGATGAGTGATAACTTCTGTCATGTCCGCTCTTAGCTCTTCGAGCTGTTTCCTGATATCGAAAATCTGAGCGACCTCCTCCTCCTCGGGCACGACAATTGCGGCTTCCTCCTCTTCCTTCCGTGAAAAATCTGGACCAAAAATCAGGGCGTGTGCACAAACTCGTCTCTCCTTGCTCACCAGTCTTCAGCGTGGGCACAGTCGCAGCGTTCTGAAACTGGAAGAAACAACGCTCGAGCATGTACTCGGGGCTGATGCCTTCAACTCGCATAAGATTGAGCACCATATTGTATCCCAGATGAAAGGCTGAATTCAAGCGATCGGCTTCACCTTTCACCATGTTCTTGGCGACTGCAGGCTCCAGTTTCTCATCAACCATCATCACAACAATGCCGCGATCGTCCAGCCCACGACGCCCAGCCCGTCCAGACATCTGGATATATTCGCCTGATGACAAACTGCGGAATTCTCTCCCATCATACTTGCGAACAGTCGTGAAGACCACCGTCCGAGCAGGCATGTTTAGACCGATGGAAAACGTTTCGGTAGCGAAAAGAACTTTGATCAATGCTTCTTGGAAGAGAACTTCAACAACTTCTTTCAAAATGGGCAACAGACCACCATGATGTACACCAATGCCGCGCTTCAGAAGAGGAAGCAGATGCTGAATTTGTGGCAACTTGCGATCTTCTTCTGTCAGAGCATTGATAGCCTTCTTGTAGACCTCTTCAACCATGTTTGCTTCATCGTCTGTGTTGAAATCAAGCTTGGAGATTGCCATAGCGAGGGCTTCACACTCGCGCTTATTGAAAGAGAACACTATGACCGGTCCGTAGCCCTTCTGCGAAATCATCTTGACTAGCTTGTGGATATCGGATTGAGAGCCTGATAAGTAGTTAGTCGGCGCGGCCTATTAAGACGCGCTGTAGCACATACCTCTGTCCACCCCCTTCTTGGACTTTCCTTTCCTTCCCGAACCAGCATTGGGATCAGATGGATCGTCACCCTTAGCATCTGCAATTGCTGCCATAGCTCTTTGAAAGTTATCTTCTTTGAATTCGCTCTTCTCATTGACAACAAGGAAAATCCCATTGCTACCGGCCGGATATAGATAATGCTGCAGTGGTGTTGGGCGGAAATCGGTATAAACAACGTGACACGGCTGGTTATGAAGCTTAGATATCCATTGTGCAAACTCGAGTGCGTTCGGTATCGTGGCGGAAAGGAAGACGAAATGAACCTTGTGCGGAAGGAGGATGATAGTTTCTTCCCAGACCACGCCTCGCTCTTTGTCGCGCATATAGTGGATCTCGTCGAAAATCACCCAAGCAACTTCACGCACTATCTCGGAACCCCGATAGAGCATAGATCGCAGAATCTCTGTGGTCATGACGAGACATGTTGCTGACGGGTTGATAGTCACGTCGCCAGTCATGAGACCAACGTCGCCGAATACTTCTGCGAAGTCACGATATTTTTGGTTTGACAATGCCTAAGCGTCTTATCAGTTGAGCATTATAATGATGCAAGGAGCGTGCACGCGCCTTAATTGGGCTTGTGTAAATAACCCTCTGCTTGTCTCGTAAACACTGAGCAATGGCATACTCGGCAACGACAGTTTTGCCGGCGCTAGTGTGAGCAGACACGAGGACACTCTCATTCCGTTCAATCGCATGAACCGAAACCTTCTGAAAGGGATCGAGAACAAACTTGTACTCTCTGGCTGGCTTAGAGGGGGAGACGTGTTGACTGATCGGAATATATGGATATCCGGGAGGCACAGCGACTTGATGTCGAACCTGGTGGCTGAGCTGAAGCTTCTCCCCATCCCCGCCCGCCGGACCAGTCAATCCTCCACTTGCAACAAAGTCCTTCTTCTCCAGATAGTCCAGCTCATCCGTAAGTACTGGCATGGGATCGTCCAGCCTCGGCCTCTTGGCTGGGTGCTCGGCAACTTCATGATCTTCCTCATTGACCGCTTGCTCCACAGCGGGAAAGCTTTCCTCCTGCTCAGCAGGCTCGGGCGAGGGAGAGCGAGCCTTGCGCTTCTTCTTCTTCTTCTGGAGACTCGTGGAATTTTCATTGTGGATGTCACCCGAGTGGCCATCTAAATGTCCAAAAAGAGCGTCGATATCCATGACTTGAATGCAGCAGTGCAAGAAATGTGTCTACTGCAAAAATCAGGCGACTTCAGCTGTCAGGGTGTGCAGCGGACACAAAATTTGGGCTAGGGATGACCAAATAAGGGTCAATATCACCACCAAGTTTGGAGGACATGTTATCTTCTTTTGAACACAAATGTAACATGCATGCAGACGACAAATGATAGTGTTCAGTCATACAATGGAGTGGCAGGCTACCTCACAACCGCGGACGCCCGAGTGCCCTTACAATAAACACAATAGAGGGGTGGGAAGGAATATTGATCGGGAGACACGCTCTTAAATAGGTAAGATCGGGCCCAGGTATCGCTCCGCAACTTCCATCTTCCTTGAAAGTCGTACAAACAGGCACCGAACAAGGTTCGGCTACCTGACCCGCGCGTTGTCTCAGGCGTCTGGATCGAAGGTGAAGTCCACATAGTGTACCAGAGGGGCATTCCGAATGCCAGTCACCTCGACCGCTACACTAAAGTATTAGTTTCATTCCCAGGGATGTGCCAGGTTATGGGACTCACGTATGCCTTCAGCGTTCATGTGAAATCTCCGTACTCCAGGGTGCCAAGTCAACCAGATAGTTGTTTCGGTCAGCTGAGCGCAGGACAGGTGCGTCAGAGCATAGTGGTCCGTAAACGGAGTCACCATGTGCATAGTGAACGGCTCGGTATCATTGTCCGTCGTCCAGGAAAGGTTAGGGGTAAGGATGTAAACACCCTTGGACTACAACCTATCAGGCATGTCGGAGCTGGAATGTGCGAAACACTCACAGTGGTCACTAGCGCTCTTCGACCGTCGAACGCTAGATTCTGTATGCTCGCGCCAGCAAAGCGAAGCACAGATGTTCTGTCTGCAAGCCCCTCCACACCTTTGGCAAAGTCCCGCACGTAGTAAAGACACTCTTTGGTGTGTACCGCAATAAAATCCTTGCCGTCCGGAGAAACATGAACAGCAGAGAACGCGAACAACCCTCCTTGAGCAAACGCCTCGACATCAGGGTTCAAATCGATCTCCTCGGCTTCAGGATCCGTGTCCTGGGCCTCTTGCAATGTCCCTGTTGGCTTGGCAAGCGTGCAAAGAGACACCGCATGCAATGGCTTATCCGGAATATTGCGCCCCGCTGCATCGGGTAAAGGAAGCTTGGCTGTTGGATTCCTCTCCAGGGTATAGCTGATCATCTGCACTCTTGTGGGGAAGTTCAGGATGCTGTCCGTCGGCGGGAACTCGAGGATACACGTGTCATCTTCCCGAGAAAAAACTTTGACCTGATTGTCGGTGCAAACAAATACGTGCTTTGGGCTGACTTCGACGTAGTAAATCCATTGCTGAGCCCAAGGTGTCCAACCAGGACCAATATTGAGTTCCTGACACGTGAGCGTAGGAATGTCCCACACATACGCCGTGCCTGCGTCTTGGCTTGCCACCAGCAACGTGGGATATACAAGACGAAATGCGCGGGTCTGACCAACGTGATGGAGGGAGGCCACCGGCACGAGTTTTCCTCGGCCTTGTGACTGTACTCCTTCGTTCAGCATGGATTGGAATTGGGAAGGACGGGCATGAGGATGTGGGGTATCTGTCGATCGTTGCCAGAGGTCGATTTCGTGTGAAGAACGGTTGAAGACGAGGTAACCATGTGTAGAATCGTATTCCACGTGTGCATATGCTTCTACATATCTCTGCGAGACGTTAGAGCTTTGCTGAATCACTGAACAAAACCAGACACACTGCAGGTAGTGACCACAATATCTCGTCGGATGTTATGTCCGCAACCTTGAGACCTCCTATCAACGAGCCTGACATTAGCAGGGTTTCAGAACATGCGGGGTTGGGCCTTGTGGGCGAGGTGGATACGTACCAGAATTATTAGATATTAAAAGCGTCTGCTCAACCTCATCCACCTTGAATCGATGAACCGTATGGCTCGAGCGGGGTAGTGAGCGTATGACTGCCTTCCCTCTACCTGTCCAGCTCCTCTCGAGGAGGATATGTCGCCTCACTGGGTTTCTGTGCGTGAGCAATCTGAGCAACAGTGGGAAATGGCAACACTGACCTAGACTCTTCCAAGTCAAAACACATTCCAACCATTTCAGACCATGCCTTCCCTTGGCAAGCTCAAGTTCCGAAACGTCACGTCTGTCGTCGCGTGATGCACGAAACCAATTGCGAAACAGGTAGTCTTCGTTAGTGCAGACCAGTTGGCTCCAGTGCTTGCATGTCAACTGCACGGAGATGAGATCGGAGAGGGGGAGGAAGGTGAGGATCTCGAGGAGCGTCTCCGCTGGTAAGATGCCCAGCATCGGGGGAGGAGGAGGTGATGCGGGCGGGGTACCGTAGGTTATTGAAGCCACCTCGTCAGAAATAGCACCCTCGGTAGCCGTCGTGAACTGAAGAATGGGGGGGAAGGAAAGCAGGAATACAAGAGATGAAGAAGGACTGGCGTGTCACAATGCGCGAGGCCCAGCACGTTTTCATGTCCTAGTACGGCTGAATACCGGTCGTTTGCCCCTGGGCAGTCTATGGGCTGAGGGCGCAGCGTTCTGAGAAGCGATCCTTGGGGTAATTGATGGTATTGACTTTTCAAACACAAGAAGACAGGATGGAGGGAAGACAAGGGGCGATGATAGAGTGTTTGGCCTCGTTGCTGGCCAAGAGGGTGTGCATAGCGGCGGTCGAGTTGGTGACACTTTTGGCGTGGTGAGCCTCGGGGACGGGTTGCCCTGAAGGAAGTTGCTTACGTAGGCACTACCTTCGCGCCCGCCCTTGACCCGCCTGTCAAACCCTCGGGATTCGAGCGGGCACAACATGTATTCCCCTTAAACCCCTCTCGCCCTCCAATTCTCCTCCTCTACCTTCCCGAATACCCCCCTTCGGACCTTCCCTCCTTAAGATCGAGCGGATTATAACGGATGCCCTACCCCACTCTCATCCAAATACCAACCTCCGACATCTTAGTCAAACACGTGCCCACCCGGATTCACCGGGTTACAGGAAAATTTGCTACCAAATACATGAGTTGTCCTTAGGATGGACAACTCTGCTGACTTTCACGACAAAAAGAAAAGCAACAGAATCGGGAAGCCCAACCCAAATTCCCAATTAGCCGCCGAGCCCGCCTTGAGCCCGATCACATCTTATCAGGAGGTCATCGCTGGTCTGACCACCGACCGTCCTCTTGGCGTCAGCATTGCCGAGCCAGTTGTATCAGGAGAGGCGCTTCGCAACGTGATGTCTGCCTCTTGCGTGTCTTCCTCATGGGAGTAGAACAATCCGCAGGAATCGCAGCGGCACCCACAGCCGGAAGGACAAACGAACTTGTCTGCTGATTCCAACCGGTTCAAAACCAGATTACGGCACTGATCGTGCATGCAATGCCCACAAAGTAGGCAGATGCGGTCCAATCCTGAGCAACTGAGTTTCACTATATGGACAACACAGTAATGTTCGGTACTTACTGCTGACCGGTAATCGGCAGAATGCGCACTTGGGTCTCGTAAATGTCACTTGACATATGGCGCACTTTCCACCCACCCTGACGACACCCAATCGGTGGCATCGTTGGCAACGCATCTCTAAACCTGCGTAAATAGGAGTAAGTTTGGGGCTGATTTGTTCAAAGCAACCAATCAATACCAAGGCTCTCCTCGCTTTCCGGGACAAGATTCCGGACATCTTGGGATTTAGAATTAGGAAAGCTTGCTTCCCAGAGCTCAGCTCGTCGTTGAAACAATTGCCATCGCACTAGAAGCTCCGCGTATGCTCTCACATAGTCTTCCAGCTGATTCACAACGAGGGGGGTGAAGAAGGAAGACTTAGGCATCCTGTGAAGTGTAGTTAGTTGTGAGAATAATACCTCGATCCAACGAAATGATTACCTCGGTGCCCCGTGCCACTGTAACGTCATCTGAGGATGCTCTGGCGTGGGTCTCAGCTTGGATGTCTTCATCGAGTATTCTCGCTGACTCTGATGGCCTTCTGACGTCAAGGTCACCAGCATCCTGCCCGTATTGCTTGCAAGGGATTTAACAGGGTCGGTGTGCGATTTATATCCTGTAGGCGAAGTAGCATCATTAGTGATCCGATCCGCAAGTCTCGTGAGCCGCGCTTGGGACGCCTTCCATGGTGACTTGACCGGGATAGAATTTGGTGCTCGTTCCGGGGATGATCCAGGTTTGGTTTCCTGGGATAATGTTCTTGTGCGAGAAGCACTGGAAGGTGGCGGCGTTGTTTCAGTCGCTGCTCTCAGAAGCTTCGACGCCAAGCTAGACCACGAGCTGCTGTTACGCGACGATGTGGAAGGAACAGAAGGAGGACTCGGGCTGTTGAGATTAGGAGACGTCTGCAGATGGGGAGGAGTTGGAGGTGGAATTTGGAGTCGAATCTCCATAGGGGACTTCAAAGAGAACGCTCTTGTAGATGGCTTGGATACGAACTTTGGGGTGCTCGGGATCTCCTGGAGTGGCCGTTTTCTGCCACGACTCTGCAGCAAGAGACAAGCAATCATGCCAAGCATCTGGACGTCTTTTGATGACTCGGCTTCACAGAGGCTAGAGGAACCTTCAATACGTGGTCAACACGGTTGATTCATTTGCTCACGATGTCTTAACAATCTCTTGAGCTAGAGGATTTGTAGCAGAGAACCAAGTGCCCCGTTTGGAGCCTTCGGGTCTCTCGGAAGTGATGGTGACAATGGCGAGGAAGGCCAGCCAAATGCGTTCGTGATCTGGTCGGCCATGTTTGCGTGCAACAGCAATGTTAATCTCGCACATCTCCGCCAGGTCACCCTTTCGACAGGATAAGTCCTTCGCTAGTTCCTTGTCGCCAGGGATAATGTGCGAGACATCCCTGATGAAGACCTTTGGTGGAGATATCACGGTGGTTTGGATCGCGAGACGGTCTCCAGAATCATTTGAAGGTCCAGAGCCTCTCGCACGGATTTTTGTGGCAGATGCGAGCTACGGGAGGATTGGATAAGATATATCGCCTCTCGAATTACTTCACACACCAAATTCTGCGAAACCTCTGCGGGAAGCGCACTGGTGATTGTCCGCGTCACTGGCTCGGTCTCCTTCCCTCCCGGTGTTTGCGACAAGCGAAGCAAGCCAGCCATGGCATTGCTGAGAGGGTTGGCTTCCGCTTCTCGCCTTCTAGCTGTATCCGATACAGTAGTGTTGCGAGAGACGGTCGAAGGAGATCGAGAGGTCTTGAGGCGTTCCGCTGCCAGGATACGAAGGGGTGGTGCGTAAAAATACACAAGCTCACCTGTGGTTCACCATGAGCATATGCATAGTATTCATATAATGACAGGAAGCTCACCGTTAGGCCCAAACGTTGCCCCACCTCTACGCGCAGTCGGAACATTCAGATTGAACTTCCTCGCCATTACCTCCCGAGCAGACTGTCTCCCACGATCCTCATCGTCCGACTCCTCATCGTCATCAAATAGATCGACCGTGCCAAATCTGCCGTCCATGTCCGGCATGCCCAGAAGAAAGCGCACGCAAGCCCCGAGACACGGGCGTCGCTGCATGCGAAGCTCTCTCAGATGGCGGAGCAAATACGCTCGAGTTCGAAGAGGGAGAGTGGAAGTTTTCTCAAGCTCGATATGTGGTGTGCTTGAAAGGCTGCTAGAGCGGGGATAGTTGGACGGAAAAGTGAATGCTACGCGCAGAAAGACCGGGTCGGACTCTAGCCATGGCCCGTGTAAGGAGATGGTACATGTCCTAGCAGTAACATCAATCTGCAGGACAAGATGATAAGTGCTTCGCGCTTCAGCCGACATGTCCCTTCATTCACCTTTTCGAATTTAACCCTCGGAGAAAAAGTCTGTGCGACAGCAGCCATTTCCTGGGCGATATCCGACGGCCTATCCTCCGCCAGCTCCCTACTTGAGCTCCGCCCTCCTCTCGTGCTCCCTTTACCGAGCGAGCTCGCCCTGGATGGAGACTGCCCCCCAGAGTCATTCCTAGATTCTGGCAGCTCAGGGGAGTCTTGCATAACTTGAGTTGCATCAACAATCGTCTGCTTCTCCAAACGCACACTGGATATCCATGTCATTTGATCCAGACCCCCACGCGCGGGTCGACCGCGAGTATGCCCTCGGGTCATGAAGCCTCCATCATGGAAAGTTGCTTTCTTGGGCTTTGTCCTGTGTCCGTTCTTTCCCACTGCCTCCCTATCGCTACCGCTTCTAGGCGTCTTCATATTTCCTTGCTGTGGTGTCGCACGGACGCCAGCGAGAATGGACCTCCCCACCATGGGGGCTGAGAAAGTGATCTTCCTTGTCGGCGACTGCTGAGGTGGCACGCGAAAGGAGATATCCGGCGCATTTCGGCGCGAGTGGATCACTTTAATCTTAGCGCCCGGCCGGAAACCTGCTTTCTCTAAAACGGAGCGATCGAGGGGCCAGCCACGGAGGGTGTGGTCTTTAGACCAGGTGATGAGCTGGAACTCACGGTCATCTGCCAAGTTTTAATACAGATAGAACTAAAGAAACAGCCGGCGAACCGTGATCCAGGTCTGCTCCACCCCTGGTTCGCCATACAAACTCTTTTACAACATTCGTGTGACCCTCAAATTGGTAAACGGGTTTGTTTGGCGCGCCATAGCTCCACATATCGAGAGTGTTCTCGCCCCTCTGAGACATGCTCAGGACGCCATGGCCGAATGGCAAATGCCTCGCCCTCCAGATAGGATAACCTGTATTAATGACCCCCGTTGGAGTAAATTCTTTCTCTTCTAAGGAGGTTGAACGCGGCAGGTTGTCCAGTGGCGCATGCGGTAACCGGCTCATCTCATCGAACCGCCAGAACTTGATCGTCTTATCCAGCGAGCAGGTGACGAGCTCGTTCCGCCGCCGGCGAGACCAGTCGATTCCGTATATCTTCGTATCGTGTGCGCGCATGGTGATGAGCGGGACGGAGCCTTTACGCCTATCCCAGATGAGAACGTAGTTGTCATGCGACGAGGCAAGGAGGTGCTCGTCTTGCCGGTTCCATTTGACTTGGGTTGCACTCGCTGAAAATGGTATACTTAGTGATACAAGTTCGGTATCAGGTAGAACTGAGCGTACCATTCCAGGCACAAAACCCCATGGCCGGTTTCGGCCCCTGCCTTAAATCCCAGCTCCAGATCCAGCTATCGATGCCACAGCTCGCAATTATTTCGGGCTCGTACGCATGCCAGTTCAAGTCTGTAATCGCGCGATAGTGTGCATGAAGAATCTGATCTATGCTGCTCTTGCCAGAGAGGTAGAGATTCCATATGAGGAGCTTCTGCGATGAGGTACTGACGATCAGCTCGGCGCGGGAAGGATGGGGATTCCATTGCACGTCGGCGACTTCCCAGGTTCCGCCTTGCGGAAGAAATCGTGGAGAAGAATAGGGCTGCTCAAGGTCAATGATGAAGAGCCCTTTCCGAGCGGCGAGGACGACGTCACGCCCAGCGGGGGAGATGCTCAGCTTGTGCAGGTGAGCCAAGTGGCAGCGAAAGCTCAGTGATACGCACATTCCCAACGGGTTCTTTGAAATCTATCTTGAACTTTTGATAGAAAGTGCTCTTTCCAACGGGATCTTTCAGATAGTCAAAACTGGATTCACGATGCGATTCTAAGCAAAACATGCCTGTGCTTGACTCAGATCGATAGTCAGGCGAACCGACCCAGTAGGCGTCATCCTCTGGACTGGTTCCTGGGAGGGGAATTTGAGCTGCAGAAAGGACGTCCTCGCTCGCCATAGCGTGGTGAGTTACCACTGTCAGTGATGAGCTCGCATAGATGTGCCTACGATCACTTGTTGTGCTTAAGACGTCGACGTCGACTAGTGTTGTCTTGGTTGTGCGCTTATTGCCGATAGGGGGCTCAATCCCCTGAAGAGGCGCCGAACCATCTCATCTGCCGAGTCATCTCTTACGTGGCCGACTATTGGAAGCTGGCCACCCGCCAGTTGTTCAAGTATTTTCACCACTTCAGGCTGGTACATACCCTCTTATCTTGCAATTACAGTTATCTTACGATCTCTCCTGTCCCTTTGCGATTGATTTTTACAATGACTCCTACTGTCGCACCGTATGGCACTTGGAAGTCACCGCTGACTGCGGACGCTCTCACCGCCTCGTCCACTACATATACCGCTCTGGCAGCAGATCCATCTACTAAACAGATCTACCGACTCGAGTCCCGTCCTTCCGAGGGTGGAAGGAGCGTCGTCGTTTCCTCTTCCCTTGACGATCTCACGAAGGAGAAAGATGTTTTTGGCTCTGGGTGGAATGCTAGGTCCGGGGTTCATGAGTATGGGGGCGGCGCGCTCTGGGCAGAGCAAGGCATAGTGTTCTTCTCAGATTATGGAAGTGGTAGGATCTACACGGTGAAGGATGGGCAGGTGGAGGCATTCACTCCCGGTGCGCTGCCCGTCCCATATCACCCGACGCCCACTCAAACCCGAGAATAGAAAACAAAAATTTCCGGTATGCTGATTTTCGCCCCTACCCAGACAATCCCAACATCCTCGTCTCTGTTATGGAAGATCACACGAAGCCCGCACCCGCAGACGTGGTAAACACTATCGTGCTTCTCCGTCCTGGGGAGGCCCCACAGCCGATCGCTACTGGAGCAGACTTCTACTCTTCTCCCAGATGGAGCACCGATGGGAAATGGTTATGCTGGTATCAGTGGTGACTGCTCTCTCTTCCCGCGTTCTGTGATAGGGGCACTGATGGGACATAGGATGCATCCTAACATGCCCTGGGATGGCGGCCTTCTCAAGCTTGCGCAGGTGTCCTCCTCCCAGTCCAACATTTCCATAGAAGAAACTAGGACGATCGCCGGTGTCGACGGCCAAGTCTCCATCGCTGAGCCCACGTGGATATCTCCAACTACTCTGCTGTTCCAGAGCGATGTCTCCGGCTTTTGGAACCCCTGGTCGTACGATGTCACCACGGGAAAAGTAGGCCCGTTGCTTCCTGAGCCCATTCCTCAAGAGTTTACAGCTCCTCAATGGACTTTTGGGATCTCTAACATCGCAGTGTTGAGCCCCGATATAGCGCTCATTATATCAGTCGACCAAGGAATACATCGGCTGAATTTACTCACTCTTTGTCCCGCCCCAAAGTACAAACGCCTTGACGTACCCTTCGTTGCCATGACCCAGCTCTACCCTATCTCGGCCACACAAGCTATCATGCTCGGAGCGACTGACACCACGCCGCTCTCTTCGATCCTTCTCACACTCGTGGGTGAACAGGTCAACTATCAGACAATTCAAAGTCCGAGCATTGTGGACTTCCCAACGGAGCTATTCTCAGGCGCAGAGGCCAAGACTCTCCGGACCCCAGACGGGCCTGTACATATATTGTACTATCCGCCCAGAAACCCAGAATATGTCTCCCCTTCCGGGGAGAGACCCCCTGCTCTCGTTTCAGTCCATGGTGGTCCGACAGGTTGTTGCTCTCTTCAGCTCCGACGCATCATGACTAATCACGACTTTAGGCGCTGCGCAGCCCGGTTTGAACCTTGGTGTTCAATTTTTCACATCCCGTGGATATGCATGGATCGATGTCCAGTATGGTGGCAGTACAGGGTACGGCAAGGCGTACCGAGACCTGCTCAACGGTCAGTGGGGCATCGTTGACGTCCGCGACTCGGCGGCATGTGTCTCTGCACTTGCTGACGAGGGACTGATCGACCGTAAGCGTGTGGGGATCCGAGGAAGATCAAGTGGCGGGTTTACAGTGCTGGCTGCGTTGTGTGACTATTCAGACATATATACAGCGGGCGTCAGCTTGTTTGGGATCAGCGATCTGAAGGCATTGGCAGGCGAGACACATAAGTTTGAATCAAGGTGTGTTTAAGCATCACTTAAGTCCTCAGATTGGCTCACGCACATCTAGATATGGAGATAAACTGTTAGGCGGTACAGTTGATGAAACTCAGGAGGTGTTACGCGATCGGTCGCCCATCAATAAGGCAGAGGATATCAAGGCACCTCTGTTGGTACGTGACACTGGGTTTATAGCATTTGGAAACTCCGTATATCTGACAGTCTCTGTGCGAAGCTCTTGCAAGGATCCATTGATCCAGTTGTCCCACCAAAGCAGGCTGAGCTAATTCTAAGGAAAGTACAAGAACGTGGTGGCGTGGTGGACATGGTGGTGTTTGATGGCGAAGGCCACGGTTGGAGGAAAGCAGAAACCATGAAAGAAGCTGCGGAACGAGAGCTAAACTGGTACGAGCAAGTCTGGGGGTTGAAGCCGTGACTGCAGTCTGTACAGAACCCATCCTCCTAAAGACAATCTGAAATCTACAGTTCTGGGATGATCACTTCGACAACAGCGGACTTGCCGCATTGCACAGCAGCCACAGCCTTCTTGAAAGTCGCACCGAGTAGTTCATTTTGATAAACTCTAGCAACAAGCACGTGATCGCCACCGCCGCTGGCAGCCCGGGCAATCTCGCCGTACTGTGACTGAGGCTTGCCGAAGCTAACGCCCATTTCTTCGCCCGAAATACGGGAGGCAAAGCCGAAAGGGTGGACAGCGAGGGCAGACATTTTTGGAGCCCTCCAACCACTGCAGGCAATGAGCAAACTGTTCGCCATGCAACGTTCAGACGACGCACCCATTGCAGAGAATGACAGTGAGGAAATTTATCCCATATCGCGACGCCATTGCGTGTACCGTAGACGGTACCGAGAACATACTGATTAAGTGTCATCAGCGCGTTTCGGAGGTTGATCACATCTCTGCCTTACTACGACCCATCCCCAGTGACACAACAAATCAAGGGCTTATTTCCATGTTCGGCCTCTGCCAGCGTTAGACCGGCTTCGATTGCGAGACCGACGCCAACGGCAGCACCGCCATGCCAGCCCAGAGACGATGCTCCAGATGTCAGGTATTGTCCTGGCTTTGGTGCGAGGAGATCCACCGTCACAGCATAATTGGTAATAGTTTCGCACAGCATGAGGGTATTGGCAGGGAGCGCACTCTTCAAATTCGCAAGAAGGGCGGGGACGCTCGCGGTATTCGGAACTACAGAAGGTTGTCGTACTATATTCGCCAGGCGATCGAGCCGATCCTGACGAGCTGCTTTGGCAGCCACCAGGCGGTCGTTGACCCTGCTGGCTACTTGTGGTGTGATATTAACTGCGGATCTGATTTGGCGAAGAGCTTCTTTCGCAGAGGCGCTGTAACGAAACCGAGCGGGAATGTAGAATAGCGGCATGGCTGAAGCAGAATTAATAAATAAGCACCAATGGTGGATGACTTCTGAGGCAGCATACCAGTCTTCAATGGGTCAACATCGATATGTATGATAGTAGCATTTGGACTCGGCCTGTTCTCGTGGGGAACCCTGTGACTCGCTCAAGAAAACGTAGCGAAACGGATTTCCCCAGCTTACCATGGCACATCAGAGTCGATCACAAGGATCACATCGGCGTCCGCCAGGAGTTTGTTCTGTCCTTGACCACTCCAGTGCACACCAGCATAAAGGTCATGTTCAGGTGGGAAGTTCGCGATGAAGGGGGTCGCCTCAATGACTGTTATAGAAAGTGTTTCGGCCAGCTTGACCAACTCTGGTACCGCTTCGATATCACGCCCGAGTGTCGTGGTCAAAATTAACGGAGAGTGTGCCTGACTCAAGAGGTCTGCAATGGTCGATGCAGCCGCAGGCGATAAAGCTGGACTGGCAACAGGTAGCCAGTGAGAGAGATTCAAGGAAGGGGCAGGAACATTTTCCTCCATGACTTCGCGGGCACCAAGAAGATACACTGGCCCCATTGGCTCACTGGTTGCAAGCTGTAGCGCTCTGGACATAACCTGTGCAATGTTTTGACCCGTTCTAGAAGATGAATGAAAAGCATATCACGGGGATGTTCCGAACCGCTTACCGGATTTCGTATGTATATTTGCTGTAATCTCGAACAATACCAGCCTGGTTGTGATTGTCTTGAATCTATACAGCCTCAGTTCCAATGTTCTCCCCGTCAGCACTCGAACTTGCCCAGTGAATAAACTCGTTTCTAGTGCCAGGAAGTTCATCATCTTGGGTGAATGGACTTAACCCAGCAAAAATTATGCAGGGAGTGCGGGATCGAAACAGGTTGTGAATCGCCCCACCAGCATTTTGCATCCCGACGTCAACTGGTCCAAAAGTATTGGATGTTATTGTTGTGAGAGCGTAAAGAGCGCGTCTCACCATGAAGGATCACAGCTGCTACCTTTCCTGTCGCTTGATAGAAACCTTGGGCTGCAGAAAGAGCAACAAACTCAGGGCAAGCGTTGAATCGTGACCTGAAACTACTGCAGCAGGCGCACTCACCTCGTGCGGGGCAGCTGACCATGTTTGTAAGAAATCATACAAGAATCATCGAGATATCTCACTAATTATACGCGGCACAATCCTCCCATTTGCCTTGGCCTCAGCGAGGGCTTCCACCAGGCTGGGATGGTCAGCTGCGTGCGACGGCGAAATCAATATTCAGCAATGCGCTGGCTGAAATGCGGCACGAACATCCCAAATTGACAAAGCAATGTGTGATCCCCCATAAGGACAGAACTTCAAAGAAGGCGCTGGATGTCGTATAAGGCATCCTAAATCCACTCGAATGGGTACAGAGGAGTGCGTTCCAGTGGAACAGTCTCTCTGAACCTCTTCATAAAATGCTCAAACCAGCGGAGGAACTTTTAACCGCAGGACTTGTGATTCCAACTTCAACTCGACACCGCAGTACTGAAAACGGGCGGAGTCAAAGAACCGGACGTGCCTAACTTCGTCGAGACGGGAGAATTTCAAACCGAGGCATAGAATGCTGCCTTCCCACCATACCGGGTTTCCACGCATAGGTTCCAGATGGCCTCATAGTAGTCTCGAGCATCAACATAACTCTGGGAAAATGATAATATCAGTGGCTACTACCTACTTCATCTCGTCGTTACTGACATGGTCGTGGTGGGCAGTATAAGTGCTTGATGTTGCTGCTACAACAAGGCCGAACTTCTTCCCTTCCCGAATAACAACAGATGTCACAGCAAGATTGAATGGAGAGGTCAGGAAACAGGGCGGCTGTAGTGTAGAGCGTGGTTGTCTGTCCCAAGTGTATCGAGTGTGGTGATAGTAGTGAAGGGGCACACGCCTGTGTGTGTGTGAATGGATATGTGTGTTCTCTTTGCCAGCACCCACTTAGACGCCATCAAACAAGGGGGAATGCCAGCGGAAGCAGAATTTGCCAAAATACTACACCGTCCCCTGAGCCCAAAGTGCTCAATTTCTGCCATCGCTTTGTGCAGCTCTGCGCATTTCATACTGAGAAAACGTCATGGCACAGCGAAAATTCTATGAGCAGGAGCTGGATGAGGACCTAGGCGACAACTTGGATTTTGCTATAGGCAACTATGTTCAGAGCGGCGTTCCTGGTCTATATGATGGTCAGTCACATCCCCTCACTTTTGGGTCTTCAGCTGGAATACCTTTGCACAGACCAAGTCCAGCTTGATCAGGCCACGCTTGCTGCTATGCAGATGCAACTGAATCAACAACAGCAACTCGCCTCCGTACCAGACGCTGTGAAGCGTGTGCGTGTCCTGAGTCCCGTGTCTGGCTGGACATGTTGAACGACTGAATTACATGTTACAGTTCATCGTACATTTCCATCAGTCTATCCGTGACGGCAATCTTCCAGAGATTAGCCTTGCGTATGAGAGTGGCTGGAACCGCCTCACCGAAAAATTCTACAGCAAGACGGAGTGGCCAGAGGCTGAGACGATCTCTCCCCTTGTCGGGGATGACCCAATATTCTTGATCCTGTATCGAGAGCTATATTACCGGTGCGCCTTCTCCGTCGCCTTTAACTTGCAGTACTTATTTTGTGTAATACTGTTAGTCACGTTTACTCGCGGCTCTCTCCTAACATCGACGATCGATTCCATTCTTACGAGAATTCCTGCGAGCTTTTTAACTATCTGCTGAATTCGGACGGCCCTGCCCCACTGGATCTTCCAGACCAGTGGCTTTGGGATATCATAGATGAATTCATCTACCAGTTTCAATCATTCTGCTCGTGGAAGAATAAGGTCGGGTCAAAGAGCGAGGATGAGATGGCTATGCTTGCTGAGGCCACCCAGGTGTGTCCTTCGGGTCTCCATGTCAAAAGCGTTCAATTAACTATGCGACAGATCTGGAGCTGCTACAGTGTCCTCAATGTCTTGTATTCATTAATTCAAAAGTCGCAGATCCTAGAATACCTCAAGGCGACACAAGCTGGGGAAAGCACGGAAGCCGTTGCGTAAGAATTGTTTCTGTTTTATATGGTCTACGTCTATGACTAAGGCAGATTAGCGAACTTGTTGGGGAGTATGGCACACGATCCTTATATCGGATGCTAGGTTATTTCAGTATTATCGGACTGTTGCGGGTGCATACTCTGCTCGGCGACTATACTTTAGCCCTGAAGGTTATGGATAATGTCGAGTTATCACAGAAGGTTTGTGATCAGAACTGCACGGGTGATTGATCTCACATCATCGTGCAGGCTCCTCTTGCCCGCGTCACCGCGTGCCATGTCGCCACCTACTACTATGTTGGATTCTGCTACCTCATGCTCCGCCGATACCCTGACGCTATCCGCATGTTTGTCACAATCCTCAACTTCATCAACCGAATGAGGCAATATCATACTCGAAGCTACCAATACGATCAGGTCAACAAGACCGGAGATCGCATGTATGCGTTATTGGCTATATGCAGCGCTTTGTCTCCATCTCGATTGGATGACAACATCATGAACACTGTCAAAGAGAAGTATGGTGATCAATACACCAAGATGACACAAGGGTACCTCCTCTGCATTATGCAGCCGCGATATTTTCTGACTTTTGCATAGTTCAGAGGGGTTGCAAGCATTCGAAGAGCTCTTCACATTTGCCTGTCCGAAATTCATCGCGGCGAATCCGCCTCCTTACGAAAACGAAGTGCAGTTGGCGGCATGGTTAGAAGAACCGCCAGCTGATCCTGCTCAGAAGCATCTTGCCCTTTTCCTCTCGGATGTTCACGCTCAGGATGCTGTTCCTACACTCCGAAGCTTCCTCAAGCTCTATACATCACTGGATGCTGGTAAACTTGCCAACTTCCTAGATGTGGATGAGGAGGAACTTGTTCAGCAGATGATGGTCATGAAGCAGTCTTCGCGAAGCGTAACGAGACCCGCAACATCTGCTGGCAGCTTGCTTCAAGGGGAGGTGGTTTCCACGAGTGATCTCGACTTTGCTATTGAAGAGGTACTGTTCAGTCAACTTTCATCATATGCTAAGTCTGAGACTCCCTCAGAATACCGTACACATCGCAGAGTCTACGGTTGGGCGCAGATACGGAGGGTGGTTCATTCGTAACATTGAGCATGCCCAGCGGGTATTCGATAGCATGCGTAGCCAGCCACTTCCCATCACAAAGACTGCAGCTGTGACGCCGCCTGTTAATGGTCAAGTGGAGAAAAGCGATGCGCCAGCGGCGCAATCGCGACAGACTTCGGGACGAACGGGGCGCGCAGTTTGGGGAGGGGCAAATGCTCGCAGAGTCGAGATTGAGGCCTAGCTACCACTTAGTTCAGTTGAGCGATGCATTATTGTGACTCATGCAGAAACGGTCGGGTTGGAGTTGTGTTCAGGAGTGACTACGGCAAGTCCATGCGCAGTGGAAGAAATCAATGCAACGGACTTAAAGGGACGAGGATGGCACCCTACGCTGTTAGTAAGTTATCCAGAACCCAGATGCCACCACATCCTCCCGCGACACCTGCTCGCCTTAATATTTTTGTATCACGAACTCTCCCTCTCATTCTAGACAGAAATCGTCTAGTATCGGCCTTCCCCCCACAACCCGTGCCACCGTCACTCGCTTCACAAATCAATACGAATGTCGCATCGATAGTCAATGGAATCGTGGAACTGGAAGGTCAATCGGATCCGCCGGACACTGCTGACCTCCGAGCGAGTTGGGATAGGATGAGAATTATGTTGGGCTCTGCCTGGGATGGTATTGATCTGCCTGCCCAAAGATCTGCCAAGGCGGAGCAGCTCGTGCACGAAGAAAGTCGACCGAACGAGCGAGACACGGCCATCCCATTCCGAGACTCACTTCCTCCTTCACCGACTTTCTCACCCCATACCGAGCTCCAAATGCAGTCGCAGCTTATGGAAAACCAAGACGAGCACCTCGATCACCTCTCGAACTCCATACGAAGGCAGCACGAGCTTGGTCTACAGATCGGCTCGGAGCTTGATGTGCATACTGGGCTGCTGGAAGAACTTGATCATGACGTAGATCGGACCGACAGCAGTCTCACTCGCGCCAGGAGGAGGTTAGAGGCCGTTGCCAGAGGAGCACGGAATAACGGTGAGCACGGATATGTGAACAGACTGGACCGCGTGCTCATCGTCGACTTAGCATCTGCGTGGTCCATTGGCCTCCTTATCTTCGTTCTGCTGATCCTCATCATTGTATTTAAAACATAGCGTTCTCCTATCATTGCCGTCTACGTTGTAATGTATGAACAAGTATATCATTGTGGTGCGCCCTCGCCCAATATTTTCCATAACAGCTGTCCGACGATTGAGATGCCCTCGCTCTCTTGCCGTGCAAGCGCCCGTCCCTTCGCCGCCAAGGCTTTCTCAAACACGCCATTTGCCTCGCGATCGTCAATGATTCTGGTCACAATATCGGAGCCTAGGCTGAATTCCGGATGTCCTTGTAACGTGAAGACGTGCACGTCTGCTGAGCCCGGGTAGTATTTTACAAGACCTTGGATGGGTGCGATAGTCGTCGAACCAATAACCAAGAACTCAGGACTTGGCGACACAGGGACATGGTCACGATGCATCTGTTGGATTCTCTGCAAGGCTCCAGATTCAAAGTGGTCCAAAATAATGAAGAGCATAGGCGTACCAGTACGTCGCGTCCAAATAACTTACGTCCGGTTTCGGACAGCGTGACTTCGGCCACGCCTATTTCCCAGCCTTTCTCGTTTTTGACGCATTGTCCACCAAGAGCCCTGGCAATGACTTGATGACCAAAACAGATTCCAATGAGCTTGATGTGGGGTTTGTTATAGTACACGGTCTTAGTCAGCGAGAGCAATGACTGTAGCCAAGGCAATGTGTCGTCGAAGGCACAAGCGGCTGAGAGGGGATTTCAGAATACTCTCAACAAGTAGAAGCTATTCTATCTCACCGGACCCGGGAATGAGAACTCCTTGATACCTGTCTAAATCTTCAGGAGAAGGCCAGTTGCCGTCCCGGAGGTTCCATTCTTCGAGAACCAGTTGCACCTTCTCGGCCTTGGTTGTCGACGGGGAAGACTGAGAGAACAACCCCCGAAACAAGTCGACTAGGTGACCATATTTCTCCACTGTAGCAGGGGCAAGCTCGCCGACTGTAAGAAATGCAATAGCAATGGACCCCATGACAAATTCAACTGGCGGTCGGTTCATGCATGCACTCAAGCAGGGTCCACATGTTGTTTATATACACTTGGTTGTCATTCTCCACCTTGTAGGTCCCGCCCTCCGTCTTGCTCTTCTTGTACCTCACCCGCTTTCCTCTGGCTGCTGTCTATGTTTCCTATCATTCATTAGTCTTCTGGCTCGTTCTGTATACCTGCTCTCATTATCAATGTTTACGCATCCTTGCCACGAAATGGTCAGCCCGGTGCCATGGATGACTGACCGAGAGCGTTATGATATATGGAGGCGAATGCGAAACTCAGCCCATCTATCCGATTCATTCAGTGCGTGACACACACTTCTCATCCCCCCTGATAGGGTCAGATTCATGCATCTTTAGATCGAATGGCCTGGATCGGAGACGATGCTCTCAAGACTCAGGTTACGCAATACCTGTATCAAAGTACCTTGGATCGGTTTGGGGCCGACACGCTGCTCATGCATGTATGCTTCTTCCATCAATTTTGGGACCGAAATGAATGCATAAGGACCACAGGATCTACGAGAGTTGTTCGAGTGCAGATGGAGTCAACTGGTCATTACCGTTGCCCTTGGTCTTGACGAAGAAGTGGATCCTCCCCTTCAACCCCTTGTTCAGGGAATGGGTCGTTCAAATCCACAGATAAAGTCGTATGCAGACATTTTTGAGGCTTACATCGGCGGACTGTGTTCAAAAGATCGGGCAGTCGTGGACCATTGGATATCCACTCTTGTCAGGCGCTTCTATCGCGATCTCATGAAAGAGGTTGAGCGCTATCTGGGTTCAACCAGCTACCCGAGAGAAAAATTGGACGTGACATGCATTCGCTTGCATGTTGACTGGGATCCGTTTTATGGTCCCTTTCTAGAGCTGAAGCCGAGGCATGCTTGTCCGTCTAGTTGTGCAGAAATAGCCTCCATCGACTGATGAAACTCCAGGTTATCATCTGCAACCTTGGAGAACATTCCTACTTCCCGACTGTTTCATACTGACGTCTATCGGTCATCCCCCTCGACTTATGCGTCATCCTGTCCTCTCGAGTGAGGATGTTCACCAGAAACGTATGCCACGCGATACATTCGCAGCAAGTTTCAGAAGGACCGCAATGGACGCTCGTCAAGGGACCGTTTTGACGATGACGCCTGTCAACAGGTCTTCCTCTGCACCGTTTCCACCGGGCACCCTGTCAATGCCCTCCATGCCAACTTCTTCAAACGTGCATTTGAGGGTCGTTCATAACTTGTCTTCAACACATCTTGAAATTGACTCCTCCCGACACGCCTCACAGAATGGTTTGAAAGAGATAGTGGACCTGACCCAGGACGAAGACGATGATGCGGAGAATGATAATGATTGCGATTGCGATATGAACGAAGTAGAGGACCTTCTATGATTGTAGTCGGCTTCAACTCGAATCTGCTAAGGAGGAACTCATTTGTATTTATGTCAGTTATACACATGGAATCGGAGAGAGATTGGAGATCCCTGAGATGCGGATGCTTTTTTGGAGCTCACGTTTGAGAGACCTTCCTTCCATGCACTCCCTCAGTGTATTTCCTCAACGTCAAAGGAGCAACAATACACGCCATGAGAGACAAGAATGTTTACAACAAAATAAGGGCATTGCCCCGGATGGTCCGTTGTATCCGTGACGTGGTAACTCAAACTATGAGCTCACATTTTTCTAGAGCTGGTCACCGCACAACCTGTATAATCTTTGGCAACGCACATTTGGCCGCCTGGTTGAAGATGCTAATTTTACGAAGACGAACGACGGCTTGTTTAAGCAGCGTTGGAAAGCCAAACGACTTATTCGAGGATACCATGGTGACTTTGTGGGCGAAACCAAGTTCAAACGATGGTACTTGCCCGCATCTCTTCCTGACGTCCGAGCGAGGAGGAAGCATGCGACCCCGTCTGCTTCGAAGCAGGCGTTGATAGCCAATTCTGTACAGAGAACGCGGGATATTGAGAAGGAGCAAGCCGAGAGAGCAAAAGAAGAAGAGGAAGCTGGCAACACCCCTGTCGGAAGCTTGTTCCTGAGCGAACTGGAACGACGTCTGGATGTAGTCATCTTCCGATCATGCCTTGCGCACAGTGTATACCAAGCCAGGCATATGATCATTCGTGGCGGTGTGAAACTCAATGGAAGGGAGGCATGTCTCACAGTCGTTGTTGACGAACTGCTACTGATCCAAGACAGCACATAAATCCAAATACTCGCATGAATCCTGGTGATATGGTCACCGTGGATCCTTCAAGAATTATCTTTCTGCAGACCTCAGCGTTATTGAATAACAGAACCTATGGCAGCGTCATGACGCGACCCAAGGATGAAGCGAACGCTGCTGGACAAGGTCGAGATGATCACGATGCAGGTTTCTCTGATCGTGGACAGAAGCAGTCCGACTTCCAGCAAAAATCTCGCTCTCGGGGCAGGAAGGCTCGTCTTACGACGCCATGTTCAATAGAAGCACACAACGGGTCGGTATTCCACCTCCCCCCTTACGCCTCGCCCTTCCTCTTCATTCCTGCATATCTCGAAGTTAACTTTCCAACATGTTCCGCGGTCTACATTCGCCATCCTACCGCTCGATCAGGTTATTCCGAAGTTCCAACTCCCTACGATGCGGATGGCGAATTGATTCGGTTGGCATGGGAATGGTATTCCAGGATACGCCCGCGCATGAGGAGGAAGAGAGACTTGTGGATGAGTCCCAATCAGACATATGGCCAATGGCCAATGCTGTAGTACGATATTGTATCTGCATCCCAATATGTCCCAATATATAGCGCGCTATTATGGGCTGCTCCCTGGCCATTTGATCACAAGCGTTGCTCGCCACCGTCGCCTCACGATCAATGTGGCGCCCCTTATTCCTACTCTTCCTACGTGCTTTGACCACGTCCCACTAACATGGAAGACATATTCTATATCATTGTGGCAGTTATCATTATTTACGTCTCGTATCGTTGGCTATTCTATCCAAGTGAGCTCTTACGTGACCAACGCCAACAGTCTCAGTCACAACAGATGATCAGGCAGTGGCACGCCAAACTCAGGGGTCACCCCAGCCAGCGGAGTTAATAGCGCTGCTACTCTGGGCTTCCGTCCTCGCAGAATAACACCAGAGATGGTGAGATGGCTCATAATGTACAACCATGATTCGCTCATGACGGAATGACTAGGTACAAATTGTTGCCACCATGTTCCCGGACATCCCAGAGTACGTGAAGCTACCCCTCTCGTTTTCTATCATTCTCAACGTAGATGTGCAGGGACAACATACGATATGACTTACTTCGGACAGGCAGCACTGAAAGAACAGTAAACTCTGTGTTGGAGAAAGGATTTTTGCCGGTGGTGTGTTCACTGATGCGATAGGGCAATCCTTATGGCTTATGTTATCCATCCATTTTGCTTCAGCCGCCCGCATCATACGTGAGAGAAACACCCGCTCGGCCGGCTTCCACACATGCTGCAACTTCTCGGCCAGCGGATACTCCACTATCTGCACCCAAGGCCGCAAGTCTGATCAGCCGTTTCCGCTTAGAGGATAGGATTGGGGATGATGGGGTGTCCACAACCGTCCAGCCTCCTGACACCAAGGCGGCTTGGGAGGCAACACCTCAGCAGAGGCAAGCTAGTCTAACAGAAAGGAAAAACCAGATGATTCTAGCTGCACGAAGGTGGGCTGTCATAAATCTCTACTAATAATGGCAACGCTGACTGATCGCTCCAGGCGATTAGTAGAGAAGCAGACGAAGCCAGTCACGACATCTGTATGAACCCAAATGGGGACAGGGTCAATCTCATCACATTGCGAGGGGAGGATAGCTCTGTCATACAGCACGTTCCTACGATGTGTACTTAGCCAGCACCTCTTTCTCTATAAGGGAGCGAGGTGGGCGCCTCCCTGTCCACAGCTCGAATTGTCGATAACCCTGCTCCAACAAAACGGCCAGTCCAGTGATGGGAGTCCAGGAAGGATTAACGCTTCTCGCGAGATTCAGCAAAGGCGTCAATGAAGGCTTATATGCCATATCGATCACGACTCCCTGGGACAAAGTGAACATGGAGGCTGGTAATTGGAGAGCATCTTTGACAGTGGGATCGGTGGTTGTAACTGATGCGGGAACTGTGGAGATGATGACGGATGGTGGGCTGTTGCCCAAGCCTTCCAAGCTCTCCATAATTCGTATGTTGTAGTCGTCAGGGAAGGACGAAGCCAACGCCTCCGCAGACGACCGGGTGCGATTGAATAGATCGATAGCACCGATGCCAGCCCGATGAAGCGCGTATACTGCAGCTCGGGAGGCTCCCCCTGCTCCTATCACCAGACCTCGTGCCCCACCAGGAGACACATTTTTCAGATTATTAATGATGATGCAGTGCATAGCCGCCCAGTCGGTATTGTCACCCAGCAGCTCCCGAATACCGTCGGGACGGCGGATTGGAATAATCGTATTTACGGCCCCAATGACCTGTGCCTCCTCCGAGAGGCAATCCAGTTGTGATATGATGGCCACCTTGTGGGGGATTGTAACCGATGCGCCTCCGAAGTTGGGTGCAGCGACGGCTGCCGTGATTCGGTTGTCAACAAAATCAGTCTCCAGAAGGTCGTAGCGATGAGGGAGACCAAGAGCACTGAAAGCAGTGTTATGCAAAGTAGGTGACATGGAATGGCTGATTGGTGTACCAAATAGGTAGAATTGCTCCTTCGGAAGGTGTCCAATTAAGTGGAGTGCTCGCTGGATTTCTGGAAAGGTGAGTTGTCCCGGCGCGGCCCTCGATGGTAGAAGTGGATGGGTGACAGGACTGAAAACAAAATTCAGGATGCGCGAAAGCTTGCCCTTCTCCCCCATGTTAATTGCTAACATCGGCTTGCGACCTGCCGCGATAGATCGCACAAAAAGTTGTAGGTCGAGATTATCTGCCTGGTCCCTAGCAGTGCCCACCAATTTGATGATATCGCCCAGTTCATATGCAAGGTTGTATTTTTGTCTCACTTCAGGGCTAAGCCACTTCATCGCCCCGGTCCAGTCGTGCCATGAGGCTATCAAGTGGGAATGTCCCTTTTGCGATATGATATGGCGTATCTGCTCCTCCGACCATGATATCTCGACATCAAGATATTCGCAGCCGAGTCGTAATGCGAGCTCAAACAACTTGACTGCTTCTTGCTGGGCAGTATCAGGGAATTGTCCGCCTTGAGAAGCGGTTCGCACAGTGAAGACAATCGGCAGGGTGGTCCTCTGTCGCAGTGCGGCAATTTGTGTTGCGACATACGTGCTCGGCGGCACGCTTGGGCGCTCGACCGGAGATCCTGTAGGAGATAAGAGATCAACACGTAGTTCCAGAGCGTCCACGCCCACACTGAGGCGATCGAGCAGTGGAAGGGCAAGCCTAATATCAGGGAATGTAAGTGACAAGAAGTAGGAGCGTTTTCCGAGCTGTATGTTCGGCGCCAAGTTGGGGCAAATGCCGGTGATATGCTCGAAATACCGTTTCACCTCCCCTTCTATACCGGTAGGACAGCATCGAATGGTGTGTTCATGGGCAACATCAATTCTGCCACCATTGCTTTCGGCTTCCGAGAACTTGACCGACTCTTGCAATGCCCTAGTAGAACTGACGAATTCGTGGCTAGACATTTCGGCATACCAAGGTTGCCTCCGGAGGAAGACTTCTTCTATAGCTTCCCCATACGCTGGCCTTGAGGTCTCCGTTCCTAGGTATTCAACGATCTCTTCGATCGCTCGTACTATGTAGACCACAGGGCCACAAGTTTCCGCGTAGTCCTTCAGTGCTCCACGAGCTGCAGGTGTTTCAACAATACCGCCTCCGAGACTGATGATGTGTTTCTTTTTCTTCGTTTGCAGCAGCTCTTTCAATATTGAGTGTTCGGCTTCTCGGAATGCTGCCCAGCCATTGTTTCTAACGAACTCCGAGACGAGCATGTTATGCCTGGCTTCGAACACGGTGTCAGCATCTGTGAATTCCCACCCGAGGGCGGCAGCTGCCAGTGTGCCGATGAAGGATTTCCCAGCACCTCTCATGCCAGTCAGAAAGACAGAGGCATTCGGGTCATGACGACGAGACTTAGAAGGTGACGCGGCTGCCTGAAACTCCACACCTTGGGTCGATAAGCCGATCTGTACAAAGTTATATTAACACTATAATGATTAGCCTTGTTGATGCACGTACCTTGTTCTCTAAGTCGTCCCACCAACTGGGCCATGTTTTGGCTACGCAGCGCTTTTCTTCAAGAATAGTGCCTTCTATAACAGTTGCAAGGACGCTGAATGCCATCGCAACGCGATGGTCATCGTAGCAGCATATGCTCGCTCCGCGAGTTAGCTGACTGATCGGAGTACCGTAGATCTCCAAGCCGTCATCAAGTTCTCTAGTACGCACTCCGAACTTTGCTGAAATAATATCAGTGGGATACAGTGTCAAGCGCGCACAATGCTCACACAGCTCGTCGATCATGGCCTTGATTCTATTGCACTCCTTCACCCTTTGATTTGCAATGCCTAGAATTCGTGTAGTGTTTAGTGGGGCATCGACCAGTGCTCTTCCCTGAAGTGGCGATCGGTTAGCGACCGCCGCCAGCACAGATGCTGTTAGAAAAGCGTCGGTCATAGGCTCCATATCAACGTATCCAATTGCCCGCAATTGACCGATAGGTGGCCCCGTCACAGTCGTTTCTGTGTCGGTTTGCACCACCTTGCAGCCCATTGGTTCCAAGACACCTTTAGCAAAGCCTGCATCGCCTTGCAATGACGTAGTCCCAATTCCGGTAATGGTACATGTAGTGCCTGTGATGGCTGCAATCGCCAGAGGATAAGTTGCACTGCTCGCATCAGACTCAATGGTGAATTCGGATGGGTTGCGATAATGCCCGCCAGGAATCCTGTATACGTCTAATTTCTTGCCTGCTGCGTCTACATCGCGAGTTACGGTGATGCCGAACGACTTCATGACGCCAATGGTCATATCGATGTATGGCTGCGAGATGACCTGGCCACCGACAAGCTCTAAGACAACGGGGGCGGAGGCATATGGAGCACATAGCAATATGGAAGACACGTATTGACTCGAAATGCTCGCCGCCAACCGAATGTGGCCCCCTCGCATGCCAGAAGGTGTCGCAGAAATTGACAACGGCAACGAGCCTATATGCTCCCGATATTCGATGGGATTACCGCTCGCCCTGAGGGCATCGACAAGTGGACCACAAGGACGTTGCTTCATCCGTGCGTTTCCGGTAATAACAGTGACTAAGCCCTGTCTGTCGGACTTGACGAGAGTGCACACTGTGGTTAAGAAGCGAGCTGCCGTGCCAGCATTCTGAAGATATATCTCTTTTCCAGCTGGGGGAACAGCCAAAGATCCGCCACCGCCTTGAACAACGAGAGTGTCGCCGTTGTCCTCCCATGAAAAAGTGGCTCCCTGGGTCGTACTAAGCCGAATGCGACTAGTATGCTCTTTGGAGGCTTACCTGAAGATCTGCAAGAGCTTGCATCATGACTTGCGTATCATCGGAGTGAAGAAGATTCTTCAGCCTACACATTCCTTCACCCAACGCTGCAAGGACCAATGCACGGTTGGAAATGCTCTTGCTACCGGGAGTTGCCATTCTGATTGGACTGTGCCGTGGGACGCTGGGGATGATTGTTATACCTTCTGAAAGTACCTTTCGAATCCTTTGGTCTGACACAGCCGATGCCTTCGGTTCAAATGTAGCGCCGATCCGAGAAAGAATGACTATTTTTTTCACTGGTCCGGCATTTTTTTTGTCCACCTTCATGACATCGAGAAGACGGTCTACCGTCAGCTGACGTGCCACTGGAAGTGACGCAATGCGGGCATCCGTAACGGATACTGGCAGATTGTACGCCTTCAAACATCGCGTCAACCGACCGACAGCGACTTGGTTAAGAACTCCAATCTGACGAGCAATTTCGGCTTCAAGAAGCATACCAATACTGACACATTCTCCATGTAAAATGGATGGAGTAAGGACAGCTTCGATAGTATGTCCAATCGTATGTCCAAAGTTGACCAAATTGCGGAGCCCAGTCTCTCGCTCGTCAATGGTTACAATGTGGGCCTTGACAGAAATAGACCCGACAATAACCGAAAGCAAAAGTCTCTGAGACTCAGAGCGAGTAGACACAGTACGTCCTGCGTAGAAATTCATTGCCGACTCGATCTGTACCGCGGATGTAATGTCCTCTGCTCGTGATTCCAACGTTGCAAACTCATTTTCATCCCAGATGGCAGCAGTCTACCATGCGTAGTTTGTCAGCTTCTAAGCTCACAGCAACAAAATGAAACCCACCTTTATAACTTCCGCCATACCGTTCGAAAACTCTCGCAAAGGCAACGTTTCGAGAAAGGCAGCGTCTATGAAGATATACTCCGGCTGCCAGAAGGCACCAATGAGGTTTTTTCCACGAGGGGTGTCTATTGCCGTCTTGCCTCCAACGCTTGAGTCGACCATCGCAAGGAGTGTTGTGGGAATTTGCACAAAACGGACCCCACGCATACTATGACGACGAGACTCAGTTAACATTAACGTCCGGCAAACACTGATGCTCACAACGTTGCAGCTACGAAACCAACTAGGTCACCCACAACACCTCCACCTAGTGCCAGGAGAACGGTATCTCTTGTGCATGCATTTGCAAGTAAGAAATCCTCGATCTCCGCTTTGCCTTCCCTTGACTTCGTAGTCTCGCCAGGCGATACTAAGTGGCTCATGAAGCGAGGACGTTTGTCGTCCGAAATCAATTTAAGCTCCTCGTCAAAAGCGGCTTGAAACGCGCTCAAGTGAAACTTGGCGACATGAGTGTCCGTGATCAGCACGTAAGTCGATGACGCCAAGTTTGTAAGAACCGTTTGGGCGATATATCGCTTGAGGTGGAAACCACAATGAATGCACTCTCTTCCAAGGATGGAAACTTTGCAAAGATCGGGCTGGTCGTTGTCAACCATGATAATGGTAGATGAGAGTTCACAAGGATGCTGGGCGAACAAGAGTGGTTGAAGGTGCGCTTTCTCTCAATCCCCTGCTGTATTAATGGTGTGGCAGAATTTGGCAGGGTGGCGCCCTTCGGCAATTCGGCAGGATCCCTGCCTAGACCCCAGACGATTCATCGGAAACCATTGCGCACGTGCTTCTATGTAATGATTACGTTTAACAAGTCTAGCTGCGCCCTGGCCTCTCTTCGAAGACTGACGAATGCATCACTGCGTCACGAGTTTTATTCACGGCTAACATCCCTAGAGCGATCGAAGTTATTCGTGATCTGGACTGGACAAGATCAAGCGCTTACCTCCCGAAAAGCTTGACCTTCATCCAGTCATTTAGGACTAAAAATCGGTTGCGCAGAGAGAGAAGATTGGAAATATAAGCGCTTCGCCAGAACAGGAAGGTGGCCACCCCTCCTGTCGCAAGCTAAATCTCCGAGGTAAGTTGAGTGCTGATTGATAGAAGGACATCACCAACATTCCCGTTGAAAAGAGGGAGGTCCGCGACAGCCTTTTCGGACCCAATATATGCCAGACTACCTTGATGGGAGTAATGAAATGGCTTGATATTCGCCACTTTATTGATTTGCTTCACAACTGCCTCTATCTCCTCGGGCTTTGCGTCCGGTGACACACGAAGAGAGCGGAGTGTTGCTTCCAGTTGCTCCTTCTTTGCCATTTGTTCCAGCACGCGGCCAATGTATTTCCCTTGCTGACTGGCAACTTGCGCGCTATAAGAGATCATCACCATTATTTCAATTCATCAAGGAAAGCTTCAGACGTACGTGGGCGCATATAGGGTCGCAGTACAATCCCCTAATGCGAACACTCCGTCCGCACCCAAGAGACGCAAATGGTCGTCAACAAGCAGACCCCTTCTCTGGTTCTGGACATTTGGCAACTGCGCCATGAGATCCCTCGTTATTTGTCGCGACGTGTTACCAGCTGCCCACACCAGTAGGCCATAGGGTATCTCCCTCAGTTCCTTGTTTTCTCCCTGTACAAGGACAGTCTTTTCCCTGACTTCTTTCACCATGGTTCGGGTCTAGTGAAGGTGAGCAAAGCTCGAGGGTATTTAGTGCTTGCGAGCCGTACTAGGATGTCTATTTTATTCGCCTTGAAAGTTGACTCGGTGTACTGAATGAGCTGTTTGGAGAATACGGGCAGTACATTAGGCAGGGCCTCAATGAGGCTAATGTGCAAATGGTTGGCAAGTTCTTGACTACATGTCAATGGGTGTAAATTAGAACGAAGAGCTAAATTACCCACCAGGATACCAGCTGTGCAAATCATCCTAAATCCGGACAATATAAATAAAAATGCTCGATGGGGTATGGGATGACACATACCACAAGGAAGTCGTGGAGCTCCCCGCTATCTAGAATGAGTACCAGGCATCAGCATCTGAGGAAGAAATTTACGCAAACTCGACACCGGTCGGTCCTCCACCGACAACGATGATGTGCATCAAGCGGTCAATTTCGGAAGGCGCCTGGCCCTTAAAGGCGGCTGTTTCGACACAGTCCATCAGACGTGTACGCAACTTAATGCAATTAGTGCTAAGTCTGTGATAAGCGGATAGAAGAACCTTCTCTGCATCAGGTAATTCTTTCAAGAAACAGGCGTGCTCGCGAATACCCTTAATACCAAAAGTTTGATTCTGCAGAAAGCTAAGTTGACAGACAAAAGAGAGAGATGAATACTGTTCACATACCTCTGCTCCTACCGCATAAATTAAGTAATCGTATGGTCTCAGGTCGGACTATGAGCATTGTGGGACGCAGGCAATAAGAGGCTTACATGGTTGTTGTAGACACGGCTCCTTTGATGTCACTATTGTCCTCGAAGGTCACAGTTTTATTCTTGACATCAACGGATTTTGCTTCGCCCTCGTACACTTCAACTCGTCGCGTTTTGTGTCGCGTGATGTATCGCGTAGGCTGAATGACCGATCTCGCTTCAAGTGTGCCCACCGAAACGGAGGGGAGAAGTGGGGTGAACAGAAAGTAGTTATGGGGGGAGATGACGACAACATTATAATATTCGGTGTCGAGCTTCTTGAGGAGGGAAGTAGCCGCCCAGCCGCTGCCCAACACCACGATTGTCTTTTTGGAAGGGTCGTGAGCCAATTGTTCGCCTGGATTTCGATCTCGCTGAACAACTGGAATCACGCAGGTCAGCAACGGAATTCAAAAGTGCAAGAACTGACTATGCATACCGTAAACGAAGGCTCCGGCCGAGAGAACAACAGTGGCGAGGGTCAGACGCCCAACAGTCTGAAGAAAAGAACGCCAACGCGACTGTCGCGCCTGCGATGAATATCAAAATGATCATTGGCATAGGATTCGAATCAAGGCTGCGAAGTGCGTACTGCGTGTACAGTTTGAGGGGCAGTCGCATAGAGTCGTGCCGATGTAGAAGGAAAAATGGGCGTGTGCTTGAGCACAAGTTGACGATTCAGGGCTACAAGCCGAAAGTTCGCTGTTGGACGAATAAATGACATCATAAGTCCCCTGTTGATGTCCCGGGGATGTCCAGAACAAAACCCCTCACCTCGAGCTGCAAACATTGAGTCGGAACAAGGACTGGAGGAGAGACGGAAAGACTGGGATGAAGAGATACGAACTGCTCAATATGAAGGAATAACTTCAAAACCACTACGCCAGGCTCGGACGCCGAAATAGCTCCCTCGGAACCAAATAGCGCGCCGCTGGGCAAGCACAGGAAGGCAGGAGTACTGCGATCCAAGGGATTGGCTCACGGCACATCGGCTTCCTCGACCACAGAATACTCCGCAGGAGTGGCGGTGCATTTTGCTTCCGGAATAATGGGCGTCTGTGACGCCATTCCAGGGTGTTCACCCATCCCAAGGAGAGGGGAAAAGCAACGACAGGGACGGAAGGTCATCTCTAGTTACTTCATCTAATACTACGAGCTATACTATGGCATACGGTCAACCATGCGGTCTGTCTCCCTCTATCGTCAACAATCGTGACAGGGCAGTAGTGATTGCATCATCGGTCTGAGTCGTACTGGTCTCAACCTTAATGTCCATACCGTATGCCTGCCCAGTATCGAATGCGCTGTTTACTGTCTGAGATCGAAGCGTTTGTTGACTTCCCTCGATCAGAGCGCGTCTAGAAAGCCTTATTAACCCCCCCCGTCCCCCCCGATGGAGCTTTCAACTTACTCTTCCCCAAACTACCGCCTCTTCCTCCTCGGTACTCAGGACTGCTGCGCACTCCATCCACTCCCCTACTCCGCTCCCATTCTCATCAATCATACATGCTACATCCCTCGTAGAGACAAAGACGGCTCCCCTCCTTCGATGGCAAGGGACGTGAGCTGCAGTCCTCCTCCTACCAGCGACCTCTTCCCCGGAGCTCTAGCAAGGGTAGGCAACACCCTTCTATCACATTCTTTCGTGGCAGATCTCGTCGATGATGCTACTTATTATCTCCCACAGAACAGCGAATGAAGATACACCACCTCGACCATCTGCCTACGTCTCGCAAACCCAATTATGCCACTATTC